AATTTGATCTCATTTTTAGATCACAACAACTCATTCCATTTGTGTAAATAATTTTGAAATCCAAGTTATAATGAAAAACAAAAAATCCAATTAAAAAATAGTGAGAAAAAAGGATTTTTAATCTCATCTTTTAAATGTAGGCCTTTCTGACCTCACTCAAAAGTAAGGGCCAGATGCAATTATACAAGTGTACATAATCAAGAGTTATGAACCTTAACTTAAACCCTAATCTGCCGTTGCAAATGCATACTGAGTCACACATCAACCATCATCAATTAGCAACATAAAAATCCTACTAAAGGAGATGCCTCTAGTACGAAAACGCCGTCTTCTGTCATGGAAGCGTTGAATTCCTTTTGAGGCTAGGGGTAGTGGAACTAAAGCGTAGCCAGCATTACGTCTAAACTGAGTCCATTTAGAAAAATACATATTTATAAAATAATTCGTGTTAACTTTTTTACTAAACTATTCTCAATGAGACGCACTCTAATTTTCATTCTCAATTATCTACTATACGAAATTTACACATTTTCGTCTTGATGATCACTTTGTTACACCTTCCTTCTCCACTAATTGAAATAATTTTTTTTACAAATTAGCTATGATTTGGTGAAAATTTTATTGTTTATATTGAATAAGTATATTGTTGATTTTAAGTGAAGCACACGCACAATTGTCATTTATTTATAACTTATTACAACTTTTTTGAATATGTCACTTAACTATTTATAAAGATCATACATCAAATATTTAACGTCAACCATTCTCAAATATATACTCTCTAGTTTTAATTATCAATCAATTATATATCTAATTTGATTTTTTTTCTCCCGAGCCAAAATGGATTCTCATATGCATCCTATTACACTCTGCCTCCGCAGTTCGGTGCAACCCGTGAGTGATGAAAATATATATGAGAGCAGATAATATACAAAACCTTGTAAGAATCTACAAAGTCACATTTGGAATTGTCCATCAAGATATCATCTAATTGCCCAAAATTCATTAAGGGACAACGAGGATGGACTGATAATTTTTGCAGTCTTTGACTTTTTTCTGACGGACATTTTTGTCTTTACATATAAATTATTTATTTCATAAAAAATTATCTACATCAAAATTTGAACCTGGGTCTCTTCAAATAAAGACAACACTCACAACCTAGAGTTTTGTGTACTTTTCTCCATTTGAAATTTCATGCAACGTGACATTTTTGTCTTTACACATAAATTATTTATTTCATAAAAAAATATCTACACCAAGATTTGAAGCCGAATCTCTTCAAATAAAGAAAACAATCACAACCAGTTACACTAAACAAATTTGTTGATTCCTTTTTGATACAAAACATAGACGAAGTTAAACTCTGAAAATCAGAGAACTTTCCCATCATGATTAGCAAGCCCACTAATATCAATCCATGGCGAATGCCGAATAGAATGGAGTTCATCAATAAATGGAGTTGCAGAAGGAGGATTAAAAATTGAATTTTTGGTTGAATCATATGCCTCTTAAGATAAAAAGAAATTGGTGGTACGACGGAGAGTGATGGCTATTGAATCTTTAGGTTTATGGTTTTTGCAACTGTCTTTCTATCTTAAAACGAGAAATCATTGATTGATTTATTAAAGTAGGTTGATTCTTTATTCAACCTACTAAAATTAATAGATAAAGAGTGTCCAATTTTGTGCCTTATTACTTTGATTGAGTCTATTCGTATATTGGAGGCAAAGCAATCAAAATTGGGACTTTACCTAAAATAAAAAATGGGGGTAAAATCGAATCGTAAAATCGTTGGACTTTAAGGTCCATATAAAAATGAAGACGGAATAATATTAGTAAGGAAAATCGTGAATAACACAAAAGCACATAACACTTACAATGATAATTTCTCAAGGTTAATGTTAAGAGGTGATGAATCGATGATGATTAATAGGTTGATGTGATTTGATTATAGTCGATGGTGGTTGGTGTGAGAGAACTAGATGATGTTGGTGGACGAGAAGAAAAAGAGGCGTAATTTTGTAAATTCTGGGGAAAATAAGTAAAATTGACTCAAAGATTTGAATCTTAAAATCGTAAGATTTTTAAAAAAATTAGGATTTAAATCATGAATAGTGTAGGATTTTAATGTCCATAGATTTATAGTGAAATCAGAATCAGAATAGTTAAGTAAAAGCGTAAAAGCGTAGGATTTTAGTATTTAAATCAGGATTTTGACTACTCTGATTGGAGGTAACCCTAATTTTTTTGTTTGCTCTCAAGTTGTGATGGTCTCCTCTTAGCAGAGTTCTTAGGGGTCGTTTGCTTGTGGGATTTGGGTGTTGTATTTGGCACCCAAATACCAAGCATTATGTATTTGATGTAAAAACATTGTTTGTTGAGGTATACAAATCCGTGGGGCCCACGGATTTGGATCTTATTTTTAGTTCCAAATCCGTGGACCCCACGTATTTGCAAATACCACATTTCATTTGGTATTTGCAAATACCACACTATGGAAGGCAAATTTTTGAGACCCAAATACCAAATGAACTAAATCCTTGATAAAAATTCACCTAAGCAAACAATGTTATCTTTCAAATACAAAATGCAATAAATCCATCATAAATCCAAAGGTTTTCAAAACTCAAAACCTTCATTTTCAAATCCAACAAGCAAACGAGCCCTTAGTATATAGTTAACTTGAATCAACAACTCTCCATTTCTTTATGATTAGTGACATATTGTTTCTAAAAGGAGATCATTGAACCCTTTATATATATATGATTGTGAGGTTTAAGATTTAGTTTCAAACTATCTATGGGTCATGTAGAAATTCCAGTGAGCTTTTATACTCTATCTTTCTCGACAATCAACTAACCAATAACATTTTAACAGGGACTTAATTATCATTATGAAAATGGGATCAATGATTATGATATTTCTCCGATGTTCGACCTATATATTCTTTCTTTATGTATCATCTCGATCGAAAGATTATCAATAAAATTAAACGGGGTGATAGACTTAAAAGTAACATAAAAATATAAATAATCAAATATGAGCATTCCGGCCAATGGGCCGGTTTATAAGCTAGTTAGAAGATATGTGAGACTTTTGACCAGTCAAAGAGTATTTTTCTTATCTCCAATATTTTTTAATCAGATTATATATTCTTTGTTTTAACTCATAATTAAAAAAAATAACAGAAAAATAACTCATTAATTATGATCTCGCAATGATATAGAGTTTGCCATACTTTGAGAAAAAAAAAAATATCTTTTCAAAAGATGTGTTAGTCGTAATCTCATCATTGTCGTATTGCCATGATATGATGTCATATATCTTTTGTGTAAACTGCATTTTTTTATAATATGATTGACTATTATAGTTCATCGTGGTCTGATCAACCAAACATCCAAACAATATGATTCGGGTCTAAATACACACATTTTACCCCTCATTTCTAGATAGTTTGACTTTATATTTCATCGTCTCTCGACCTATTTTATGCTAGGGTGTGCTTGTTTTGTTATATTTCAGGTCCTAGCACGTGTGGGAAGGTCGAGAACGAGTTTCGGGTCGATTGTAGGTCGAAAAACGCGAAAAAGTGAAGAAAAGTCGAAAGTGACGGTTTGGACGCAATTGTCACGGTCGCTAGTAGGGGTGGCTATACGGTCCGGTTCGGTTAAATTGGCCGGAATTGATCAGGTCCCGGTCTGATCTTTTCGAGAATATAAGGACCAAAAATTGGATTGGATACAGTGCGGTCTTGATACGATCTGGTCTTGAACCGGTACGATCCCAATTTGGTCTTGATTTTAGATTGACTTTGTGGGGAATTGAGTGGCCTGAATCGAGATTTGAGTGGCTTAAGGCCTAAAAGGGTGAGGATGTTAAATTTTGGGTGTTGGGCTCTCTTATCCGCTTTTCGGTCCGGTCCCAAATAGTTTTTTAACTCAAATCTAGGCCCGAAGATTGGATTGGATTGTTTGTTATCAGGTCCCAGTCCGGTCTCGGTCCGGGTTATACGGTCCGGTTTTGGATAAAACCAAAAAGCTCGGACCAAATAGCCAGCCTTAGTCGCTAGACCGTCACCATTGCCACAAGACCGTGAAGTGCGGAGGTTGCAGAGAAGTTTTCGATCTCACTGGACTCAAGCCAGTTCATGGTCGTAAGAACGTGAACTAAAGCCAATGACCGTGAACTGAGTTAGTGAAGCGGCACGTTTGACCCGAGATCATAGTCCCCGCCTTGACTTCACGGTCGTGAACTGATATCGTAATCTGAGTCCGATCTGGGTATAAAAGAGGAAGTGAGTTGAAGGAGAAAGAGAGCTTTTATTGAAAATTTTCCCTCTCTATAACCAGTAGCTTGGATAGCAATTGCTTTGGTAACATTTGTCTCTCCTCAATGAATACCTCAGTTTTCTGTGCGCCACATGCTAACTCTGATACCTGTGAAAACCTGTCAACACTCTTTTTATACATTATGTGAAAATTAGTAATAGAGTTAGAGTACACGTGGAATACGACCTCGATCGCCACTATACTATTTTGCCAATTCGAGTTATACTTGGTTCTGATTGAAGTTGTTAGTGTTGTCAACTACCTGAACTATAAAAATTAGAATTTCAAATTTTCATTACATTGCATAGAATACCACATTTTGACGGGGTAAAATGAAAAGAAAAATAAAACTTTAACGGCGGAGAGATTTGCAATCCACAAAGTGGAGGCTAAAATTAAAGTTGAGGAAATGAGGAAGAAAAAGAAAACCTTTGAGGTCACAGATTGTTAGAACCTGGCCATCCCGGGTTATGATCCCCATCACATGCGCAGAGGACTAACATTAGTATTCCTTCTGTTCCCAAGAATAGCTTTAGGCAACACTCTCCAATCTTCATGGACGGATGAGAGAAGACGTCGGGCACCTCACACGTAGGCTACTCCCACAGCCCTTCTTGCGCAATTATATAAGTTGAACCCTTACTCATATCTCATCTCAATTCTACATTAAAGAGATCATCAAACTCATAAGCCTACCTAAATACGTACGTTGTTAATAAAATATCTAAAATTTTGAGGAACAGACAAAAAAGAAAAAAATGGCGACGCAAGCTTTGATTAGGAGGACCTCGAGGGCTGCTTTTGTCTCCAGGCACATTCAGGTGCCCATACACATACATTCAATTATAGAAATAAGTTGTGTTATTAATATACAAAAATTACAAAATGATGATCTTGCGCGCAGACAAGTGCACGGCGAGATGCGGCCTCCACAATTGATTCTGCTGCTCAGGCGACAAAGAAAGGAGCGGAAGACGCGAAGAAGGTGGGGGAGGAAGTGAAACACAAGGCTGCCTGTGCTGCTGGAGATGTACGTATTTTTCTAAAACTAACCTGTTTTGTTCTTTATCATCCACTTGTCTCTCATGCATATATGGATTTACCATGCAATTATTTAAATAACATGACAAATGTGCATGCAGATGTCTCAGAAAGGTAAGGAAGTGGCGGGAGACGCAGCCAATGTGGCTCAGAACGTGACCGAAAAGGCCAAACAGACGGTCCAAGGAGCGTGGGGAACCATGAAGGACACAACGCAGAAGATCAAAGACAGCGTCATGAACAAAGCAGGAGAGTCTAAAGAGTGCGTCAAGGAAAACGCTGACGCTGTGAAGCGCAGCTTGAATTCGAAGAAATCAGATCTCTCATAATCAACCTACTTAACAACACACATCACACATCGTCTACATTCATATTTCAATATGTCTCACACATACGTATATATATACGTGCATATCCAGTCCTTATGCTCACAAAAAATATATATATCCAATTTTTCTATACATTTAAGTTCTAAATTAGGAATTTTTTTCATCAAAATCACTATGAAAATTTTGCTTGGCTTCAAGACATTACAAGTATTTAGAATGTACTTGGAAGCAATAATAACAAATAAATATGTACTCCTTTCGCTACCATGAATTGTAAATAAAAAAAATTAAAGTTATCTTTTGGTTGAATCATAAAATTACATTGGTTGTAGAAGGGCTTTTAGAGGACTGGTGGAATGACTAGTGATTCAAAATTAGGACTTTCAAGTTCAAAACGAATGATTATATCATTAGACAAAATCCTTGTTTACCGGCTACGAGCAATAGTTATGACTTATCATATACATTTTGTAGATTGGATATCAATTTTATTTTTCTTTTTTGCCATAGGATTGGATAGCAAGTTTAAACAATAACATTCATTATTAAGATTGTTATTTGGCCACTGTTAACAGAGTTGAACTACTACATGCATTTGGGGTAAAAGATAGAAGAAGAAGACGAATCTGGCATATAAGATTTAGCAAAAGAGTAGCAGAGTTTTCATGTCCCACAATGACTGATGATATTAAAAATTACTTCTGATAGTGACACAACGTTTTTCTTTACTACTTTCTATTTTTAGTGATCGATGCAGTCAAAATCTAGCTTTGAATCCTAAAAGACTGTGCATTTACACTTTGGACTCCCCAAATACGGTAGATTTTGTTCAAAAAACTTTTGCACCGAGAGTGGAATTGTAAAAGCCCTAAAGCCTAGTACATGCCTAGAAGCTACCTTTTAAGCCATTTTTAGACTTTTGATACCCATCTATTAGGACAATGTTGTAGGGATGTGCAATCGTCTGGCTTGAACCGGATCCGGACCAAACATTGAGAACCGCGGTCTAAGAGAAAAAAGGACCAAGAACCAAACAAACATTGCATTCTTTCCAGTGTGGTCAAATTTGGTCTGATCCAAATATTAATTAAGTTCATTTTTCTTCAAAATATATAAAATTCACAGGACTGTACGCATTATATTTGGTCGATTTGGTCAAGTGTGGTATGATTAGGAACAAGTCGTTGCACACCCTACCATATTGAGTTGGATTTCATTTAGTTTTGTGGCCGAAAAGAGATGAAACGACTGAAATTTATTTGTTTCTAGTCGGGTTATTGACTCGCATGACCTACACATTCACAATCGAAGGTCATGCATAACCAACAACCAGGTGTAGTATAGAGAGTAAGTAATATAATTATCAAATCCACGATTCTCTAGATGTACCGTTACTTCAAATTATGTTTGTTATCTAGCCAAACAAGATTAGTGATTTAGAAACTAAGGTAACTAAGCTACTCTAACCACTACTCTAATTGATTAGAAGTTGGAGCTCACTTAGGCATGAATCCCCCCTAATTCCGTTATTTAGTTGTTATTGAGTACTACACTAGATTGATTGACTCGGTATTTCTACTGTGGAAAATTATAAACTAGGTTGGAGTCCATATTCGAGTTGTCCAACTCTACTTAATTGCTCTACCCTGAGGGGCATACCACACAACTGACCTAGGTAGCTGAGGTGTTCACAACCCACTCCCATGATTGGGCAAGACCTGATACGACACTATTGATCCTATCACGCTCGCTCAAAGACCCATATGGTGAAGGATTGATGGTGCTCTACTCAACTATAGATATATTCTCTCTCTTAGGTCAAAAGCTCAATTGATATATAGTGGGATCAAAACTCATGCAATTCATCATAAACATCAATCAAATAGATAATAGGAGTAGTCAATCAGAGGATTTGTCACATACATCAACAATCAAAACAAAATTCAGAAATAGGGTTCATCAACCTAAGTGAAGGAAACTAATTCATAAAGAAGAATAAAGAGAATACAATATAGGGCTTAGGATCTTCAATCCAAAATAGCTTTTAGAACCCTCCTAGGTACTCTCTCTCTCTCTCTCTCTCTCTCTCTCTCTCTCTCTAAAATTTCCCCTTGGGTGTTTTTGGGTGGAAAATCCAGTTCTCTTTGCTCAAAACCCGCTGCTGTCAATTTATACTCGTAGCAATGCATGTTTTACGGTTTAGTTGTCATTATCACGCCCACAGGGCGTGAAGTGTTCACAAGACCGCGAGAAGGAGATGATATGCTGGAAATGTGTGATCTTCACTCTTTGGGGTTGATTTTCATACCCTCATGCAGTGAACATTTGCTTTGACTCGTGAACCTTGCACAATTCTCAACTTTTTGGCTCGTTTTGACCCCTGAATGTCCTGGAACTTGTCCACGAGCTTCCCTCGCATACTAGGACCTTAAAACGACAAAAGAAGCACAACTTAGAATGAAATAGGTTAAGGAACAATGATCACCAACTCAAACAATATAGATATGAAGGGGAATAAAATATGTACAATCAAACCCGAATTAGTTATCTTTTCGTCTTTCCTTCTTTGAATTCATCGTCCCTAATTCATTAGCACTTCTCCTCCAGTCTCGCCTTTTCTCTATCTCCAAAATCAGCACACGCTGCATCTGTAATCTTGCCACCAGCGTCCTTTCCCATCCCTACAACTCCCACCCCACCCCAGTGACTACGTTATCGTAGAAAATAACCTCCTTCAGCCTCCCAATTATCAAAACTTTCACATATTAGTGAAGATTGCCTACAACTCTTATACCCTCATTATTTAATAATGGTTTCCACTACTCTTTTTTGTTTCAAAAGCAGGAAGAAAGCAGTGAATACTTGTTTAAAATTCTATTACTTTAGTTTATATGTATAAGAATGATCTTTAATATATGAGCTAGTTCACTTATTTGCTTATATTTTGCTAGGTAAGGTTATGGTGAGAAAATTTCTATCAATTTAATAGAATGTTTAAAAGCTTACGCTTTTTGTTCTTCCACTTTTACTCATCATTTTGGTTTTACATAAAAGTTAAACTTTGACTGCATTGTCAGTAATGCATAATTTTGATTTCCTAGAACCAGCTGACATTCATCTATCAAATGAAAGAACAACTAGAAGAAAGTGGGGATTGATGTAATTTCTTTCTCAATCAGTATGAGTCTACTTGATATAATACCTCATGAAAATCAACTTAGATCTTCGGTGGATGTGTGTGTTCTTCTATTTGGATTTCTTGGTTGGGGTTTTTATGTTTTCTAGGCTGTAAAAGGTCATCAGCTTAATGCTACGTATGTTCATCATTGTGGCATTCATTATAATGTTCAGATCGATTTCGTAGATATTGTTCTTCCTATCTCTTAGAATCAATAACTTATTGTCCTAATTCTTTCAATTAGGCAGACATGGCTCAAACGTAACTCTATTAGTCTCACCGCACAATTTACTTATAGACAACAAGTTGCGTTTAAGATAATCAAGAAGTAGTATGATTTGGAGGCTCTCCAATTATACCAATTCCTAGGATTCTACCAATACTATTAGGGTTATCCCCATGATTTCTTTATCCTTAAAAAAACTATAAGAGACTATTGTTTCTATTTCGTCATATAATGAGAGCATCCACTATCTAGATATCACTCGTTTGTCTTTGCTCTCATAGTGACATGTAAATGATTTAGAGGTTTCGTTTTGGTACCCCATAGTTGCTTGAGTACCTTTTTCTCAAAGTATGAGTAAGAGGAGTCATAAAAATTATTGTAATAACAATTTCTACTGATGTCATAGTTTATGACAACAATAGCATACAGTCCTTGAGTAACACTCTTGTTTTGTTTGTCCTCTTCTAATACACTTACTACATCCTAAATTTTTCTTGCACTCTTTACCGTGAAGACCCTTCCTATTACAATTTGTGCACTTAATGCTTGTTTTGTCATCCATTTTGTGATGTGCCTCTTTATTACATTTATGGCAAATAGTTGGCTTGACTGAAGTCTTTTAAACATCTTTCATATAGTTGGCTTCTTTATATTTTTCTTCCATTCGCTCTAAGTTAGAATAAGTTTCTATGAACTTAGTTCTTGAATCTATTACCTTCTTTTCTAGATCTCCATTTCTAATTCTTAATTCTTTTAGGTATTCAAGAATTTTTCTATTTTTAAATTTACTATTTTGTTTCTTTAGGGCTTGATTTTCCTCTCTTATTACTACAATGTCATGCTTTAGTCCTATAATTTCATTTTTACTTAATTTTAAATCCTCTTTTACTTTGTAATACCTATTCTTTAATATTTCAAAGTGTTTTTGAATTTCTTTTTAAACTTCTATCATACCACTACGAAAGTCTGAATCACAATCACCATCATAAATATGAGGAAAAGAATATACTTCATATCTCTATGTGATCTTCATGATGTGATCCATCTTCCTTGTTAGCAGAGGCCATGTAGCCTTGGAATTCAAATTCATCATCTCCACTTTCTGCCTCAGATCCGCTCCAAGCTACTACATAAGCGTTTTCCCTTCTCTTTTCATAATTGGGGCATTCGGCCCTTTTAAGTCCACTTTTGCCACACTTATAGATTTTGGTGGCTCTTAATCTTCGTAATCACTATCATTTCTAAGCTTACTATTCTTACGATTGTCGAAGGATCACATCTTTCTATATTTATTTTTATCGTTGCCACAATAATAAAATGAACTCCCTCTTCATTATTTTCTTTCAAATTCCAAAAAAAAAAAATTATTAGAAAGCAAATCCTTGATTTAAATTGCACATAATTCTTCATCACTTGAGATCTTTTTCTCAGAAGCCTTAAATGCAAAGCTTTTATTGTTCTAATTTTTGGGAACTAGCATTTTTATAATTCTTATAATAATAAATAGGAAACAGAAGAAACAAACATCTACAAAAATTAGTGGGCAGCCGATATACAATCTAGGCTCCGACTCTCTTAGCTATAGCAACGCTAAGTCTAGTAATAATGTATGCGGCTGCCCGAGCCCCCACATCCTAAGACGTGGAGAATTTTCTGGATATGCTTGAGCAAAGTCACAACTTTTGTATTCAACTCTTGCAGCGAATAAGAAGAAAATGGCAGGAAACCGTAACCAGCCACCATGCACAAGTCTCAACACTTGGTACACTTTCGCTGACCAGCATCAACAACAACTCTGCCAGGCACAAAACTAGTCATCCCATTCTTAGTCAAAGGTCAAGACCTAGTCAGATCGACACACACATCTCCCTGATGT